ACTTAATAAGACTTATTCAGACTTTTTCCGACTTAATAAGTCTTATTCTGACTTTTTCCGACTTAATAAGTATTATTCAGACTTTTTCAGAGAAAGTAAGACTTTCTCAGAGAAAAAATTTCCACAAGGGTGTCGCTCGGCGCAAAATTTGTCTCCCATGTTCACTGGTGTATTAACTGAAAAATCAAATTGATTAAAAGACTTTTCTTTAAGTCTAACAGCCTTGATTAATATTACTTCTCACTCAACATTTAAATCAACAAAATTCGATAACCACTAATAGCGCCATCATGGCGATATTGGGACAATTAATTAATTATATTATAACTGTATGGTTGCAAACAAATGATAAAGCCAACTTACCTAAACCGTTCAGTCTCGCCTATGGAGAACAATGCGTTTTCTATCACACAGCAACAAATAGCAACACACTGTGTTGAACACAGAACAATGGCAGTCGCAACGCAAACAGAGTATGCCTGTTACAGGGCCCCTTTTATACCGATATATCGACTGGAAACGAAATTACCCGAGTCCTTTTCTACGTAAATTTTACATAAAATATACGTTTCTTAATCTCACTATGCGATAATAATAGAATAATTATTAATAATTATTTTATATTTTATTAAGCGGTAATATTAATTAATAAATCACTCTGGGATTTATAATAAGTCATTAAAATAATAATTGTACCTACTTACATTGGTTTGGTTTAATCTAAAATTATGAATTAAATTTGGTATTTAATTATCTAAGTATACACTCAAATTTCCAACAAAAATGTAAATGTGGCATATATTTTAATGTTTATCATTGGCAAACCTATCCCATTCATATTTATCATGTGTCACATTGGTGACGTAAATTGTACGTTGTGTTTTGCACCTAATACGCTAAAGTAAAATAAAAGGCATAGTCTGGACGGCATAGTGACGTGCTCGACAGCACCTTTTATTTTTTAGCGTAATTTTTACCTAAATTGAACATCACTAAAAAACGTAGTTAATGTGCCTCAAAATTGACAATTTTTAAACGTCACTGTGACATCACCACATCCATAATGTTCAGTGGGATGTGCAAACAATGTGCAATCTTTTAAAAAAAAATGATGTGCGGAGGGTGGGAAATGGAACATGAAACAATGTGCAAAACCAAAAATTTAAAAGTGTGAATAATCACTGGATAATGTTCTAAAGGGAACTCTTGCCACCTGTGTGCCTATTACAAAAAAAGATTCTTTTTGGTGACCTATAAAGTCTTTTAAATTTACACATAATTGAAATATAAATATCCTTAAGGATAATTATAATAATAATAATCAAATAAATATTTTTTTTTTTAATTAAAAAAAAATACCCACAATGTAGGTCTAACATACTGTATTTTATTAAGAAAAATACCTGCACTGACATGTCAACTCCACGAAAGGGATTGCTTTGATCTTAGCAATAGGCAGAGAAGCGATACATATCTTATATAAGATGGAATCTACCTCACCTTTTAAATAAATGTTCTACCTCAACTCAAGCGAGATATATCTAAAATGTGCTTAAACTGTTGAGTGATCGCTAAAACTGTACAAGCAGTGTGCTAAAATATAATGTAATATTAGCGCGACATATGACAAATAAAAAGCGTGATGTCAATGTGCTTAAAGAATGAAAAAACTAAATTATTTCAAAAAGTGTGACATTACCACAAAATAGCGTCTATGCGCATTGTTATAAAGACTTGCACAGTGCACCCAAATACACAATTATTGCACACTTTTCATGCACGCTTTATTTTCGCCAGGGCATCTGCTCAGTAACGAATAATGGCTAGCTATAGTCGAGTGTGTTAAACGTATAGGATATACCTATCCAGGACGTCTGAAGGCTTTTTTGAATTATCAGGCTGTTGTGGCCGGCACTCGGGCAACTATACACAGCCGACACTCGGCCGAGTAAACGGCTATAGCCGACATTCGGCCAGGCGGACATGCCCGGTCTACACGCCGAAACAAATACATGTGTCTGGCCGCACGCGGCCGATTCGGCAAAACGTATTCGGGCCGTATGCGGGCCGGCTAGCTTGTGCTTACTGGGAATGACTTTGAAAGTTATTTTCAAATTAATAATATTATGCTAACACTATTAGCAGACGAGTGTAGTTACAATAGGCACCAAGACCAGTAGATCTTGCTGAATTGGCAAATAAAAGTGCTGATGGAATGAAAAAATGTTGTTATATCAATTAATTGTTTTTAAATAAATCTAAAACTGAAATATTACGCTTTTGTTCAACTTACAATGACTTACCTATTTGATTTACTTGGATAATGAGTTGGTCAAGGAAAATAAAAATGTTAAATAATTAGGTGCACCTGTCTATGGCATGTCTATGTTGACTACTTACTCAAGTTGCATGTCCACATTGAAAACCTAGGTTTTAGCTAATTAAAAAACTTTAATCAAAATGTTTCGTGTTATGGCAGATATTGTCCCACTGCAAATAATAAAAAGTTCTTATTTTACCCATATTAATTATCTACTGAGTCATGTTTGTTGGGGAAACTCTTATAAAATTAGCGATGTTTTAAGGTGTCAAAAACGAATTATAAGAACAATAACGTTTAAAACAAATATAACTTTTGACACGCTACTAAACGGCCATTAAAAAAATTAATATATCTTTTAAAGGAATAAAAATAACAAAACAAGACTAACTGGACTGAAAAGATGAAGGTGGGGACTACATTTCCTAAAAGTTTCAGATTTTTATTTTTTCCTCAACATAATGATTTCTGAGGGCAAAATTGGCTAATTTTGAGAATTATCAATTTTCAATAATTTTTTTAATAAAGAAATTGATAGTCTAGAAACTTAAAATAATAGTTACGTTTTCTATTGTATAAGTACTTTATACCTGAAAAAAATGAACCTTCTAAATTCAGTAGAATAGGCACAGGAGCCAGACAAAAATCACAAAAATTGGCAAATTATCATGAATCTTTAGTGGTTTACCATTCTTTTATGAGATTAACTAATTGGATAATAATAATTTATATTGAAAACACACTTACTGAACAGTAAAACAAAATTAAAATTATTTCAATATTTGTCACAGAAAAAAGTTCTGGCCCACTATAAGAGAGTAAGAAATTGACACTATTTCAGACTTCTAAGGGGTGCCAAATAAAAGTAAAGCAACGAAAAATTAAAACGGCAACGGATTTTCTTATTTGACACCTAAAAGATCATCCTCAAATTTTTTCATCAAAATAAAAAATCACGCAGCGCACCCCATTTGGTGTTTTTATTTGGAATGACTCATATATAAGACACACACATTTTCATGGGAAATTGAACGCTGTACAAAAAAGCTCTCTTATGATTTTTTGATAAATTCGAATTGTGATCACTGGTTTAAAAGTTATTTAAGGTTAAACTTTTACAACAAAATTATCATTATTTTTATGATAATGAAATATTTATTTTAAAAATATGTGATTTTTATTGTATTATTAAAAAGAGATATGAAAAATTTTTTGAGAAGGGATTCCGAAAAATTAAATTTTTTTATTGCATTAAACGAATCTGGTACTGGTTTAGTACGATTGCTTTTTTGACATAAGCTTTTTATTTATGTGAAATTATACAATGAAAAATTTTCCTATAGTACAGCCAATGACGTAGAAATTCTTTTAACAATTATTTTTACGAAAAAATAAAATTCGTAGTTACACATGCGCACTAAAGTGTGATTTAGTACTTTGACCACGCAGTCATTTCAAAAAAATAATACTAGGTAAAACACTTTATTCCTTGGATGAATTTTTAGCCATAAATATTAAAATTTTACATGTCTTATTTTAAATTTTAGATACTTATTTATATGTACCTACTTAATCAGTAAAAATATCCAATACATGTAAAATGTCTTTCTTGGAAATAAATTATTATTATTATTATTAAACATAATAAATTTGTATTATAAAAACGCCTAGAATTAAAATAATTCAATTAATAAAATTAAAATATATTGTCACAACAAATGTTTATTAAATAAATATTTTGTAAGAAATAACAAAATAAAACAAACTAGTACATATAACATAAATGAAAAATTAACACAAGTAACTTTTTTGATTATAAATTGCGCTATAGTATAGTTAAGTTAAGTTAAATTAATGGGCAACAGCGAATTTTACATTAATTTGGTTATAATTTTTGGTTGATATCACACTAATATTAATTTTTATATAATTCAATTAGTAAATTATATGTAACATCTTAGAGGTAGTAAGTAGTAAATTTTACATTTAAAAACATAAAGGTATTAATAAATATAAAATAGTGATACAAAGTAAAAATTAATTAAGTAGTACACTTTGAATTTTATATTTAAATTTATAGTTATACTAATTTTTCAATGTCATGTAGAACATTTTATCCAATCAAAAAAAATAAGTTTGTACGTCCAGGTGTTAAATACAAACGGCAATACCTGGTCTGTTTTTTTTAAATAATGTAATAAAGTTTTGGGAATAGTTTACAAAATAGTCAATTTTATAATATAGGTACCTATCTATACAAAATCAAAATAAATCTATGCATATATGCATCTATAACTATAGTTTATAAATTTACTAAATTAAATAAATGGTTTCCATAATATACATTTTAATTATATTATTTATTGGTATCATTCCATTAATTTTGTAATTTTAATTTTCTAAAGTCCAGCCTTTAATAGTTGATAATCCAATGGTTTGACTAATATTAATAAATATACAAGTACAAAAATATAATATTGGAATATTAAGGAATGTTGGTAGTAAATTGTGAAAACTTAAATATAAAAAATAAATCATAATGGATTAAATTGAGCTATAAAATTAGATAAAATAATTACAATGTATAATGTTTGTTTTAACAATTTACCCAATTAAGAAATAATTAGGATATAAAATATTTAAATATATATTATATATATACATATATATTATATATTACTTGAATTTTAATTTTCTTCGTCAGAGCTAAGAAGCATAGTCTTCTCCGTATAATTTTGTGTATTAATTGTAGATACACGTGGTCCAACACTTATGGGTGGTCTAGGAGGGTTATCTAAGCTATTATAGGACTGCGGTATAGTTCCCCCGCTAGGGCTCATTGGGTCGTCGGGGTCATACGTTGAAAGTCGCATGCCTCTTCCATTCTTACCACCTTTAAAGAATAATACATACATAGGTATACAAGTTTTTGAGTTGCCCCAAATAATTTTAAACATTTATAAACCTATTATTTATAAAATATATAGCTAAAACACATACAAACATACATACAAGCTATCGCATGCAAAAAGGATATTTGGAAATAAAAATACCAACTTATATACACACCAAGCCATTTATTAAAATAAAATAGGTACATGGTTTTATAATAAAAATAATAAGACTAAAAAATAAAAAATAGTGAAGTAATAATACATCTATATACAAAAATTAAGTACTAAATAATACAGTAATAATGAACAAGAACAATAAATTAAATGCTATTAACATTAAAAAAAAATGCCAAATATAACTTAATTTACCCTTCAGTCAATAAGGTTTATAGCGGTAAAGCCTTACTGCTATTTTGAGGTACACAAATTGATTAACCTGTGTAAAAATACACTCAAAACGACAGTTTGTTAAGCTTTAACCTGTAAAATTAACAATAGTAAAAGTATTAACATAATCTACAGGTGATGATTTTAATAAAATAAAGTAAAAAATCCGATTATCACAAGGTACGTTTGACTTTCTATCTTTCACAACAGTAATTTTGTTGACTTTTATACAAATACACAAGTCCATTAACTAATTTTATTTTGTGCAAAAGTTAAATTGTTAAATGTTACGTTCATTGTAAATAAAAAGAAAATATTATAGTTGAAACATAGTTCATTATTACGCAGAAGTTACATTGTGAGCAATCTTTTTAATAAAATTAAAATTATTTTGTCAAACTTTTAAAAATAATACCTTTTATATTATTCCACAATGAACAAATTTAACCTGTAAGTAAAATAAAATCTTATCAGCAAATACATCAGCATTTTGATTTTACAATAGATAGGTAAATAAAAGAGAGAGTTGACTTTTGAAGAAACCCTGATTATTATTTTGTGTGTAACAATTCAGAAGTAATTACTGGTAAGTGGGATGAATTGCTAGGTAGCACCTTAGGTGACCATGCAGGACATGCTAGATTAAACTAGCGACATCACAGCCTCTCATATGGTTGATGCGCGATGACGTCTGCAAAAAGCAACATTTTACATGCAACACACATATTATTGTATTTTTAATAGTTATAATATCAATTATATTTTTTAAATTATTTACATTTTAGAATTTGGATGTTCTAAAGGGTTTTAGTACCAGAATTTTACCAGTGCATATAAAACTGGAAGTATTTTAACTAAGGTTGACAATTCACTTATAATAATGTATGTGTTTTTTAAATAACAGCTTTTATCAAGAGCTTTTTTATGATATCAAATACTTGTGGTTTAGTCTTTAATTTGATTTAATTATATATGTTAACGTTTTTTTAACTACCCTATAAAGTTATTATATTTAGCTCTTTCTGAGATACATGTTGTTAAATTTAATAATATGATTTTGTTTAAGTAGAAACTATAAAGGGACCCTCAAACAATCAATAATATTGTCAATATCAACAAATATTGACTATTATATTTAACTTCTGCAGGGTGAGGCAGAGGAGAAGTATGTTTTTAAAATGGTAAATACTTGGGCACTAGGCAAGGAGGGGTCATGTGGAAGTTGGACTTTCCCTGGTTTATAGCATTTGACTTTCAGTCGCCAATATGGAGTGTCCACGGGTATGACACTGTCATAATGACAGTTTTGTTTAAAATAATGAATGAATGACTCAATGGCATCAACAAAAACCTATTTATAAAAACGGCTTTGTCAATGTGTTGATGTTAATGGCATCATATGTCCGATTTAATTTTTTGCACATATCGTATGTTAAATGCTGTCCAACGAATATTAGCAATTAATTTTTTTTAGAACCAAAATTAGTTTTATGATTATTTCAAAACCAGTCAATTTCTGTGCTCAAACCTGTAGTATCAGTAATGATTGTAATATACACCATTGGTTTTTCCATTAGTTTTTTTGTTTTGTTTTTTAACAGATATATTTTGGGTGTCCCGAAAATGGCGCACTAACGATATATCACGCTGTATATTATAAGTATAAGAATAAGTAAAATAAGTAAAAATTATTTATATTTGTTCTTGTAATGTTTTTAGATTATTTATAATATAAAAGGATAGAAAAAAATTTTCCAAACACGTTTCAAAAATAAAAAGTTAGTTGCACGCCAAATTTTAATAATTTATATTTTTAATTTTAAGATATTTTAGAATTTTTTAAAATTTTATCTTTACCACCTTTACATGTCATATAAAAGGTTACAGGGATGGCAGATTAAAACTATTTTTTTGATGTATCGATATCAATATAATATATACAGTGTGGCCCACTTAAGAAGGAAACACCCCCTTAACTTTTTTATTTGTAACCCGATTTTATTGAACAAAGGCTCAAAAGATAGAGAATAAAAAACTCTATTATTATTAGAGCTGTTAAAGTTGTTTTCAAAGTCACCCGACACATGCCTACTATAATTTTTTTTCTGTGTCAAAATTAAAAAAAACATTTAGGGTAATTTTTACGAAAAAAATAAGTACCCCACTGAATTTGGCATGCTTAAAAATGGGTATTTACCAAATTTCATTAAAACCAATCGATTGATAATTATTTTACAACGGTTTATTTATTGATTTTTTAAATGTTTATAACGACAATAGAAACACATATAAAAGGTTTAGGAAAAAATAGGTACGCCACCGAGTTTGGCAGGCTTTAAAATGGGTATATACCAAATTTCATCAAAAATAAACAATTAATAACTATTTTGGGCAAGTTTATTTTTTTACGTTATAATCATTAATAACACTAGTTTACAAGAATTTCCTCATTGAACGAGAACTACTTTTTCCAAGGAAAAATTTTGTGCTGATTCAGAATATCATAGTGGTTTTCCTGGTTTAGCTCTAGATTTCAAGATTCGCATGAAATCTCGAAAAAATGCAATGTTACAGAACATTAAATCAGAAATTTTCAGCTAAAATTGTTATTTAATATTAACATAATCCCAAATGTTTATAGCTATAAAAAGGAAAGTGTAATAAAAATTTTAAGGTGTAAAACTTATAAATTACATGAGTGCTTTGGTCGTTATGACCAAAAACAGGTAAAAAAATCGTTTTTTTTTCTGAATTTAAAAAAAAATTAACTTTGGTCCAATGTAAATAAAAAAACACTTTGAAATATAAAAAGTTGGCCCCCCTGTATTCTAGAGAATTTAATTACGAAAATGTTAAGCATACATACGTCAACATACGATGAGATTTAGATTTTATACGGTCAATTTTTAAAGTGATGTAATGTAAGTACTTTTTTACATAAATTAAATTTATTAAGAGAAATAAAATTGTATGGTGCCAGGAAGTGGTTATTTAGATGTATTTATTTGACATTTCAGTTGTCATTTAGAATATAAATGTTTATATTGATTTTAGTTGTCAAAAGATTTTAAATATTTCTTTTTTATAGTGTTTGTTTGTTTTTGTTATTGTGTTTTGTTGTTATTGTGTTTAAAATGGCCAGTAGGAAATTTGCATGTAAAAATGAATCAGATTTGTTTTGTATATTATATATTATTGAAAAAAAAGGTAGAAAAATAACACCAAACCTAAAGATTGCATATTTACATTATTTTGGTTTTGAAATAAGAAATGAAGATAAATCTTGGACACCAAGTTTAATTTGTCCAAATTGCAACATAACGTTGAAAAGCTGGAAAAAACGTTTATTTGAGTTTTGGCTGTCCAGTTTTATGGGCAGAACCAGTGGATCACTTAGAATGTTACTTTTGTGTGATAAATATAACTGGTATAAACTCAAAAAAACAGAAGATCTCTTCAGTATCCAGATGTTACTTCAGCGAAAAAACCAGTTCTACGTGATGAAAATCTACCAAAACCAAAACACCCTTTAAGTTATAAGTCATAAATGACAAATCAAACAAAAACGAATCTAGTTTTGATACGTCTTTTTCTAAACATGAATTCGATGCAGAAAAAAACATGATGTAACATTTCCATTGGTTAAGGCGCACTTCACTATCCCTAATTAAATCATTTGGGCTTATTAAGACTTATTTGTTGAAAAAGAGAAACGGATCCGATGCAGTACAGAAAAAAAGTGAACACCACACATATTCCTCATTATAAATCACTAAAATAAACAAAATCTAAAATTAAAAATAAATGTTTATGAAAGTAAATTAAATAAAAAATAAAATAAATAAGAAAAAATTAAAAAAAAACGGTTTTTTTCCCTTATTAAATCTAAAAAAATTGTAATAATATAAATGATCAAAAATTTTATTGCTTCAAAAAATGTACCGTATATAATCTAAATCTCATCATATATTGACGTACGTATGCTTAAAATTTTCATAATTAAATTCTCTTGAATATAGGGGGACTAACTTTTTATATTCCAAAATATTTTTTGATATACAGTGGACCAAAGTTGAAAAAATTGAAAAAAAATCGGAAAATAGTGATTTTTTCTGACCTATTTTTGGTCATAGTGACAAAACCACTAATGCGATTTAGGAGCTTTACATCTTAAAATTTGTATTAAACTTCAGTCCTTACAGCTATAAAGATTTGGGATTGATTTGATATCAAATAAAATTTTAGCTGCATATTTGTGATTGAATATTCTGTAACAGTGCATTTTTGCGAGATTTCATGCATAACCCGAAATCTAGAGCTAAACCAGAAAAACTACTATTATTTCAGGAATCAGTACAAAATTTTACCTTAAAAAAAGTGGTTTTGGTTAAATGAGGAACAACTTTATCAAATTTTGTAAACTAGTGTAATTAATTATTGCTACAAAACAAAAACTAAGATTGCTATGCTTACAACTTCAAACAAACGTCAAACCAAAAACAGGCGATTTGACAGAAAATAGTAGCGTCCTTTTTGTGTATTTTTTAACAGTGTATTTAAAAGTTCTTATCTACAATCATTATGGCCCATCAGTTAAATTTAGAGCACAAAATTAAAATTGTCCGTTTAGTAGGAGATAACGTTCGTTCAACGAGAGAAGCAGCGGTAAATTTTCACTTTAGCGACTTTTCCGAAAAACGGCAGGAAAGTTGCCAAAATGCCAAAAATAGGTGTAGAGGGATGTAAAAGTGCATAAACAATCGGCGCAGGGTGAAAAAGTTGTATAATTATCGCGTATTTAATAAAAAAAGGGGCTGATAATTGAAGTGACTTACCGTGATTTTCTGTGAAAATGAACATGCAGCGAGCCAAAAACACGTATCTAATAGACGTAGAATTTGAAAGTGGAAGTGAAAAAGCGTGAATTATGAAAAACAACGTCATGAATTGAGGAAAATACAATTTTTAAAATTAGGTAATTTGAGGTTATGAAGATTAGCTGTCATCTTGGTTATGCAGGTACACTAAAATGGGCAAAGGTGAGCGAAACCAACCCAAACTTAACAACCCAACCCAACCGACCACGCCCCATTGCCCCCCCCCGCCCCATTGAGCAATATATCTATGGGCAGGCATAACCTCAAATAACCTGATTTTAAAAATTGCATTTTCCGCAATTTATGACGTTGTTTTTCATAATTCAAGCTTTTTCACTTCACTTTCAAATTCTACGTCTATTAGATACGTGTTTTTGACTCGCTACATGCTCTTTTTCACAGAAAATCACTGTAAGTCACTTCAATTATCAGCCCCTTTTATTAATTACGTGATAATTATACAACTTTTTTACCCTGCGCCGATTGCTTATGCACTTTTACATCCCTCCACACGTATTTTTTGCATTTTGGCAACCCCCAATCCGTTTTTCGGAAAAGTCGCTAATGTGTAAATTTAATATTCTGAATTATTTTAATAACAATCCGAAAGTAAGTTAGAGTAGAACGGCAATTTGTGAAGAACATATTCAACTTACAGACTTGCTTAAATGGACATTTTTGAAGATAATTTCATCCTGTATAAAGATTTTAGAACCGAAATTCGAATAAAAAATTCTTAATGTACGAGCAGAAGGAAAATAGAATAAAACATTGTTTTTAATGGTTTTTAAAGGGAAATATTTAAAAATGGAATAGCAACGGCTTAAAATAAAGATTAAGAGCTTTGTAATAGCTAAAAATTTTTGTTTTCTAACCGGTTACAAGATTTTTAGGTGGGACTTTGAAAAAAAGTGTCGCTCTAAAATGAAGCACCCTAATATACATAGGTTAGAATAGAAATTTTAAGACATTTTACATTTTAAGAGGCTGCAGTCGTTTAACTATTTGTGATACGAAAAATTTTTTTAAAACAAAGTTAGAGGACAAAAAATTCCCTACAAAATTGCTATTAACGTTTTTTTTCTATCATCAATAGTTTAGCAAATAATTACGATTTACTGTTATTTTTATAACATTTTCAATTTAAAGAGCGATTTTTAAAGAAGATATTCGACTTACAGACTCGGCTCAATGGGCTTTTTCGTAGACGATTTAGTCCTTCATAAGATTCCTTGAGCCAAAATTCGTAAATAAAATTCCTTCGTGGTGAGCGGAAGATAAAAATGGTAAAAAATGGATTTATAATGTTATTTGAATGGAAAATCTTCAACACTGTTGAGCAATGGCTTAAAATCATAATTAAGAGCTCAAAAAATGCTCAATTTTTTTGTTTTTGGATCTACTACAAGATTTTGAGGTGGGACTTGAAAAAAAAAATTGTTGCTCTAAAATGAAGCACCCTAAGGTACCTACATTACTTATGGCCATATGCAGAAAAAATTATTAGGATTTGATGGGAAAATATTTTGTAATAAAACCGTTATTAAAACTCAAAACTCACAAAATATAAATACCTAGTCAAAATTTTAATATTAAATTTTCAAATTTTGGGCCTCCTTCCATGGTAAAGCAAAGTTTTCAACAACTATAATATAATATTAACTTAAAATGAATGGGTCCTCAATGAATATTTGATTTAAACAAATGTCATTTTTTTTCATTATACTAAAAAAAATGTACTAAAATCCACATCAAGCAGACTGTTTCAAAAACAAGATTTTATCAATCATAATAACAAACGTGCAAAACTTAATTTAAAGTGCATTCCATAATTAAAAAATATTTCAATTTTTACCTGAACTATACTGCGTGTACTGTTGATACTGTGGATGGAAATTATGAATGGCATCAGTCATTATATCCTTTGGATTCATGGTCTCCTAGAAATAAACACAAAATGAAAACCTTTAATTGAAAATAAATATAAATCGTACTTTTAGACTGCTAGAAATGCTCTGCATAGTAACAGATCGTCCCCTGGAATCGGTCACGCAACCCTGCGCATATACCCTGTACGGGAAAGCGTAGCGCAAGGCGACAGCTGCGCAAAACATCTCGATGCAGATCAGGAAGTTTTGGTAGCCTGCGGAAACAGTACCAGTCGAGGTCCTCGTACCGTTACTATCGATTATTGGCGAGATTACTTCAGCTTTTTCTAAAATGGCAAGTCCAACACCTAAAAAATTTAAATTTAGTTATAACCTAGTCTTGTCACAGGTTTTATTTTATGCCTAATGAAAAGACGCATATTCACCAAAACATAAAAATAAACAAATTATAACAGGATATCGAAATCTCAAAAATAATAATAATAATACCTACTTGAATCAATTTTCATAAAATTAATTATGGCAAAATTTATCTCTTTGTTTAGCTCAAAGTTAAGAGCTTTATATTTTTGTCTTTTTTTGAAATTAATTAATTGCCAATTAGTCCAGTATATTTAAGTTTTATTATTGGACTTCAATGGGTAAGAAATTTTGCGATTGTTAGGGTACTATATAAGCTTAAGAGGCCTATGCCCTTTCTTGCTGTTCATAAACATCAATTTCTTAACATGTATGTTCACCCAATGACAACCCAAACATCACCTATATTTAAGGCTATTCCGTTTGTCATATGTTAAAAGTCTTGACCTTAAATCTTTCTGAACAGCGATAAATGTTTTTAGGACAGAGAGTATCTTAGTTTTATAAACTAAAATTGTGTTAGATAATTATTTTAAAAATCATTGGTGATATTTAATATATTAAATGAAAATCTACAAATTATAAAAATACTTGGGAAAAACGTTTTATGCTCATGAAATATTTTAAAATAATTATTTGTTACTTTTTTTTACACAGACTTTTAGTGACTTGAAGGCCCATGTATTAAAAATGGCAAGAAAACTACGCATTTCTCACATGGAGACTGGCAATGTCGGGGAGCCAGTAAAACAACTTAATGACATTAAGGATAAATTATTATCCCTAATGGAGGAAGCACTGTAAAAGTTACTGGTGAAGGGATTACCATCGTTGGAACTCTTCATTGACCAGCCTTTAAGGTCAGGTGGAAGGGCCCCTTCTACAACAGAGAGGCATAAAGAGGCCAAGAGAAAGTCCAACTCAAACTCTGATGAGTAGCAAAGGTGTAGAGGTTTTAAAAGGTATGGATAAAACCTAAAAGAGATTTTAAAATTAAACCAGTTTTAGCTGCCATTTGAAGAAAAAATGTTGTACTTTTGTACTAATTTTTTGTCTATATTTTTTAGTAATAATATTACATCGGTATTTGATATTTTATGTTTGTTGTATTTTTTTAATAAAATATATTTTTTTCAAGTTATTTTTTATTCTACCAATATATATATAGTTTGTAGAGGTCGTTTTTAGACACGCTGCCCCCCTTGTAACATATATTGTCAAAGTCTTGACCTCTCTTCCCCCAAATTCTCACTTCACACTCAGATTTTTTTAATTTTCTATTTTTTTCTAAATAAGTTATAATTATAATAAAATTATATTAATTTTATTAAATTCAGTAAAGAAAACTTGTATTCTGGTATTATAATTAAGAAATACATTATAATAATTACAAAAACAAATTATAAAAATATATTTAAAATTACCAAAAAATATATTTTAATTTGTTCGGTGTGAAACCTTATGTGATTTGTCCTATCATTTATAATTATAATTAATTAGGTATTAATTATGAAAAAGTAATTAATTCATTATTACTATGCTTGATAATGATACTGTACTGTATACTGTACCAAACATCACCGCAATTTATGATTAATGCAAGATAAAAAAACCTCAAAAATTGACTAACAGCACCCCTCAGGCAAGCGTTCGTAAACATACGTTTTCAAACATAATGTATGTTCACCACACAGCCTATTTTTGAAACGGAATAGCCATTTAGACACCGATGTTTAAGAAATTCTTTGAGCGCATGCGTCTATAGAACAAATAATTGAAAGGGAATAGGTACATATGTTACGAAACATATGTAGTTCATGAACATGCAAGTTTAGCGGAAGGGAATGGGCCTCCAAATATAATAAGACGCATTTTTGACAAAAAAAATTAATTCTACAAAATTGTATAAATGATATTTTTGAATATTTTGCATATTTAAAAAGCCATATCCGATTACACTGTAGGTAAATTTGCAACTTTTGAAATATCACAGCTAAACGCTCGGACACGTAAACATAATTTTTGGTCGTAGATTCCAAATCCGTGCTCGGTTTAGTTGTATCAGGTCTAAAAAAGTTTTTCCTGTCGGAAATCCGATCCGGGGACACACTGTATACTGGTATATTATAATTTGTAAATTAATATATTTCATCTCTTGTGCCAACATTATTATGCTTTTTATTTCAATTAATATAATATCCTCAATTACACTCAATAAAAAAAAATTTGCAAAAAAACATTTTGAATTTCCTAAATTATCTATTATAAAAACCCTCAGGGACATGTGTTACTTTTGGTCAATTAACTTCAAATTTTGCAAGAATTTTTTTTTTTAATTTGGAACTAATGTATGGGTGCAGCCAAATTATTTTGTTATTAAATTTATACTGGGTGTTTAAATGTATACAGGGTGTTTCCAATATCTTTGAATTTTGACCTGATACAGCTAAACCAAGCATGGATTTGTAATCTACGACCAAAAAATAAGTTTACGTTTCCGAGCGTTTACCTGTGATATTTTCACCTCCCTACAGTGTTATTTAAAAAGAAAGGCCATTGAAAATATGTTACGGTCAAATATCCTTTTTTATTAGCGCTATCGCAAAAATTGTCTTTCAAAAGTTTTTAAACACACAATTACCACTATTATTGGTTATTGGTCAATTTTTTTCATGCCAGCAATTGTTTACTTGTGCGTTCCGTCTAAGCAATGTTATTCTGTCCAAAATCTATATGTAATCCCCCATCACAGCGCCCATCTTAGATGGAACGCACAGTAGTGTAGCGCCCCCCTTTTTCTTAAATAATCGGTATTACTCGTTAAATAACGAGGGGTCCACAACCGGGCAATATTAACTGTATTACTTGGTATTACGTTATATTACGCCCTATAACTAAGTATTACGTAAGTGCTGCCAAAGTTTAAATTATACCCCGATTAAACATAACATTTAAAAAATGTTTTATGTTTTTATTGAGGTTTTTATTTAGGTACCTTTCCATTTTTAACTTATCTCATTAAGTATAAATAAAAACATTTTGGAAAAATAAACTTTTTACATAAAATAACCCTTAATGTATATAACACAAAAAACAATATAAAATATTAACATTATAATTAAGATGCTTTATTCTTAAAATAATAATTACGATTTACTTAATTCCGAATTTAATTTCATATTATTGTTGCTTACTGACTGCAAGGATGTCAAAGTTTGCATTCCAATTTCAAAGAACTTTTTAGTTTTATCAGCATGAATTTTAACATGTTTAATAAAATCGGATATAAAAAGGTTGACGTATTTTTAAATATTCTTTTGGTAATTGTTTTTTTTGCATTTTTAGACATAATACTTTAGTTTCTTCATTGTTAATTTCGATTAATTCTTCTGAAATATTCCAAGTTTCCAAGTAACAAACAACATTTTCATTTTTATTGTTTAGTCTCAAACATTGTTAATTAAATTTAATTAACAATGTTTCAGACTAAACAATAAAAATGAAAATGTTGTTTGTTACTTGGAAACTTTATATCACCTCTCACAATAAACTACGAAAGCTTACCTATATTTGTTAATTAAATGAATTATTATTTCTTTTCTTTTATCCAATTCACTTGTTTTACAATTAGTAGGTAAAGTTGCACCTTCTTTTTAATTTTTTGGAAAAATAAAATAATAAAATAAAAATAAATAAATATAAATACCTATAATAAATAATAAATATAAAATAAAAATAAGTGGCCAATGACAACATTTTAAATTGTTTCATTAAATTATAACTTTTTCCATATATTCCAAAATAATCTTGCAATTGTTCTGGGGACAATTTTTCCCCTTCAATAATTGTATAAGGGCCTCTTGTATAAATGACATAAGGTCTTCGCAAGCATATTTCAATATGAAAGCTTTTAAGGATAACAGGTTGTTGTAGCCACTTAATTCAAATATATTTTTTTAATATATCGGCACTTTAGTCTTATAGATAAAATAAAGATAAATAAAGATAATATTTTTTCTAATGTCCAAGACATGTTTAAAACTAAAGTTAAAAAAGTGAGGTTAGTACAATTTGCGTTAAAACATTAGGTGTTTTCGCGGTGTTAATCCCGAACTAGTTCGGATATCCTAGGCATGCGCATTTTAATATTTGTCATGCACACTTTACTTTTTTAACCCCAAATTTTAAAAAGCGCATGCCTAGGATGTCCGGAATTAGTACAGGATTAGCTCCGCGAAAATAGCTATTACTATCAAAAGTTTTTTGATTCAAAACTATTAACAACTTTATAATGGTAAACTTTTTAAGAATTTACCATGACTAAATTTATAAAAAAAAACGGAGTAAAAGACGAATTTTCGGTCAAATTAAATTTACCGGTACACCGCGGTATCCAAATAATAGATGACGCTCACCGTTATGCGCAAAATGTGCATATTATGTATTACGTATTACTTAAAGTATTACGTGGTATTATGTGGTATTACGTTGTATTACTTAACTATCACGTGATATTACTTTCTATTACGTGATATTACGTGCAATTACATATTACATATAAAGTGTAATAGATTACATCCAATTTGTTCGCCTATTACTTGTTGTTTACCCCAGTTGTTTACCCAAGCAAAATATTTAAAAATATCAAGTAAATATTATTTATATTATTATTCATTATTTATATTTGATAAAAACATTTTCTTACCAAATGAATTCCAATAATACCCATAGGTAATGAACTAAATTTACCTGAATAAATTTAATTGGGGAAAACTGGGAGTTTTATAAACCAAACTTTTATTTTATTACTAAACTACTTTTTTCCAATTAGCTGTATGTACATAAATAGGCCACTTATCTGTGTGAACATTTTTAGTATATTATTCTTTGTTGTAAGTTATTAATTAATACAAAAGACGTTTATTTACTTGATAAAGTTTCTAGTGGGTATATGCATTTTCAATAAACAAACCTATGACATGGATAATATCTTACCTTGCCAGAAGGACAAGAAAATAACAGACTTAACTGTGAAAAACTTCAATACTGGTTCAAAAGGTGTCAAAAGATCACGAGTGGCAAAATAGAACAAAAACAGTCCATACAAGGCAAAAGAAACTGAAATATTGTAGATAATTGTGATGTATATGTAACCACCATCCGGACTGTAACAATAACAATAAATTAAAACCTTTTTAAAGCAATAAACTTATGTAAAGTTAACTTACCTCCAATCACCATCCCTGTAATGTCCGAAAATTTGTAGAATAATAATAACAAAAGCCATTACCGGTTTGACAAGGCAAAATTGCAATGTGGCCTGTTTACAAAACCTCAAAAATCCAATTGTGTAGGTTTTTCCACTAAGACAACAAGTACCAAACAAGCAACTGGATCTAATGGGTTTTCCTCTTATTTCTGACATTATATTACCTTCTCCGCCCAAATATTCATAACATAAGGATAAGAAATTGTATATTACAAAAGCTGAAAAACATTAAAATCTATACACAACATAACATATCATAAAGGTTGGGAAAAAATTAAACAGTGGACTCTTTACTAGGGGATTCTTATTTCATATGCAGTTATGCTCTATCGGTTTTAGTTTACAAGTTACATGAAGATAATTTTTTTGAATAACTTTTGAACATAAGGAAACGAAATTTTAGCTATTTATTTATTTGGTAATACCATACAATGCTTAATCTGCAATACTAGATCATGTCATAACCGATTATGTTCCTGTGTAGGCAGTAAAAAAAATTACAAAAGGTTTAATTACGGGAAAACGCAAGAAGGAAATATTGTTAAAAACTAAAATCAAATTTTAAAAAATAATTAATACTTTTTCCGCTTTAGGCCGACTTGGAGTTAAGGTGCTTGACACTTTGGGGTTCGGTAAAGTTGTTCCTTGACCTCGACCGCCCAATATTGGCACGCGTTGGTTCTCTGTTGGTAATCCAGGAAAGTTTATCGTTGTATTCAATCGCCTCACTCGCACGCTTTTTTACAGGTAGAGCACTTTGGGGCTTAATCCAGGTGGACTACACGCACTTTACATTAGGCTGGACTGAAACTTTTTTTTGTTTTAATTTTTAAAGCCTTTACATGCAAAAGTTGTATTTGAAGACACAAAATTTGTGTGCATGTGACATTTCAAATATGACATTTGTAAAAGATAAAAAGAGTGTCTTCTCCATAGAAAAACCTATGGTCTTCTCTATAATCGCAAAACTATTATTGTAATAATTACATAATTGTGAAAATGCCTAAAACTCGTAGTAAAAGTCAGTGTGAAATATTTGGTGCACCTTCTGAACTAAAAAACAATGTGCTTTTTTTTTGATTTAATGAAAGCTTATTTGTTTACCAGAGCTACACTTAAAGCAGAAATGAATAATAAGGATACAAGTATTAATGAAGTGTCCAGAAATTTTATGTTAAGTATAAAAAGTATATGGCAAAAAGGAGCATTGCCTGTTGTTTCAGATCAACAGATTTTGCACATGATAAAAGTTCATAACGAGAAGTAAGAAAAACATGAAATCAGCATATATTAAGAAATGTCTTGAAAAGCTAAATCTATTTAAAATTGCTAACCAAAAGCTATTTGATATTTCGTCTTGCAAATGTGAAGATTTCTCTCTTTGCCGTTGCGTAAATAAAATACCACATCAGAACGCGAATTTTTAGTTGCCCAAAGAACAGCACGGAAAATGGTGATTGTAAATATTGATATAGAAGCCACTAAAAAGAATAAGAAAAGAATCGCTCGAAGAATACTGGAGTCCGAAAAAGTAAAGAAATATAAAGAGACAAAAAAACTGACTTTTATTGAGGATGTAGGAGACAGAACAAGTTCAGATGATGGTAAAAATAAAGTAAGTACTTATTCTAGTGATGAGAATTTTGAAATTTCTTCAGAACGCAAGGCAGAATAAAACTACCACATTTAGCTGCAGCTTGTAACAGAGCAGGTATTTCCGACAGGTCGGCGTCAATTATAGTAAGTTCTGTTCTTCGAGATATTGGTGCTATTTCTAGGCAAGATAATTCAAAAGTAATTGATAGAAGCAAAATAAGACGAGAAACAAAGAAATGCCGTACAAGATATATTGAAATAAGTGGAATTTACTTTGATGGAAGAAAAGATAAAACACTAGTTGTGGAAAAAGTTGGCTTAAGGTATCACAGAAAAACTATTAAAGAGGAACACGTTGTTTTAGTTGCTGAGCCAGGAGATAAGTACTTGGACACTAGGGTGAGCCAAAAAAACTAACCTATCGGATTTATGGGTTAAAATGAACCTACATACCGAGCAAAAAATTTCCCTGCAAGGCAAAATTTTTTGCTCAATTTTAAAAGGTGTCGGTGAGCATTCTAAGTTTTCCATTGAAATAACACGTAAAAAAATCTTTTTTCATTAAAAAGACTATAACTTTTGAACCGTTTGAGATAAAATTTTTTACGTCGTGGATTCTTGTAGAGCATAAAATTTCCCAAAGAATCAATACCAGGATTATTTTTTTTAATTCAAAAATTCGTATGTTTGATAGCTTTGAAAAGTGTAAAAAATCACCAAAATTGCAGTTTTAGTGATTTTTTACACTTTTCAAAGCTTTCAAACATACAAATTTTTGAATTAAAAAAAATAATCCTGGTATAGATTCTTTGGGAAATTTTATGCTCTACAAGAATCCGCGACGTAAAAAATTTTATCTCAAACGGTTCAAAAGTTGTAGTCTTTTTAATGAAAAAAGATTTTTTTACGTGTTATTTCAATGGAAAACTTAAAATGCTCACCGACACCTTTTAAAATTGAGCAAAAAATTTTGCCTTGCAGGGAAATTTTTTACTCGGTATGTAGGTTCATTTTAACCCATAAATCCGATAGGTTAGTTTTTTTGGCTCACCCTATTGGACACGTTGCTCCAACATCGGGAGAAGCTAGCAGTATTAAGACTATATACATATTAAACTTTTTGGAAAATATATTGAAAACTGATTTGCGAAAAATTTTGGTTGTTGGTTGTGATGGAACTGTGGTTAACACGGGACTGAATAACGGTGTAATAAGATAAATTGAGACTGCTATAGGTAAACCGGTTCATTGGTTCATATGCTTATTGCATTGTAACGAATTACCTTTACGACATTTAATGCAACATCTTGATGGTAGGACAAATGTCCCAAGAGGCTTCTCTGGTTTTATTGGAAAAGCTTTAGACACATGTGAAAATATGCCAGTAGTTGATTTTGAAGAGATACATGTAGAACTGCCTCACATTACATTAAATAGTACAGATCAGAAGTATCTGTACGAAATGTGTTCAGCAATTTCTAGGGAATATCTCTTTTGACTTGTCTCAACGAAAACCAGGAAAATAACGCATTCAAGATGGCTAACCACCGCAAATAGGATATTGAGACTATATGTAGCAACTAAGGAGCATTCCAGAGTTACTTGCTCTCACTCAGTATATTATTAGAGTTTATGCATTTAGCTGTTTCCAAATCAAAACTAAACCTCTATGTAAGGACGGTCCAAAACACATTTTGACTATGATCAAAGAATCACGTTACTTACCTAATGAACTAAAGGCAATAATAGACCCGGTTATCAGTCTGCGGACGAGAATCAAGAGATGGATTTATACATGCAAAAATCACATATCGACAAAGTTTACCGCAGTTTGAAACAAAGCAAGATTTTGTTAAAACTCTTGGACAGTGAACTTTATTTTAGGTACTAATTTTTAAGGTTGGAAACTTCTGATTTATTTTTATTTTCATTCAAAATAGAAACTTAAAAAACCTATTTTAGGAGAATCAAATTTTAATGAATTGTTGTTGGTAATTAAATGAAACTTTTTGTTATACCTATAGGAAAAATAAAAAAACATTAAAAAAATCGATTTTTTTTAAATATAGGAACCTCAAGACCTTATTTCTGTGACCTCAAATTTTGGAGGTTTAATCAAAAGACCCAAATGCAGAAAGTTGTTATATAGGCAAAATCAAATTTTTATTTTTTTATTTTTTCATCAAAATTCCCTCCACCCTACTTTACATCCTTTTTTGCACTAGTATCTTATAGATTATGTGTATATTCGTTGATTTGGTATTGTGAATATTATCACCGCTATAGCTGTGGAAGCACGGACACGTTAGACCTCACTCGCACCTCTTTTTTGCAGGTAGGTGTTTTATCCAGGTGGAGATGCCACTCGCACCTTACCCCTTTTTTTTACTTCTGGTAGATTACGTGTAGAATCGTTGATTTGGTATTAAATTTGTACCGCTATCACTATGGTGGTACGGACGCATAGACACACGACCGCTTACCTCGAGGTAAAGAGCGGAACTAACTTTATATTAATACTAGTTCAAAAGTCAAATTATTATAAACCTACGTACAAAATCTAAAGAAATATTCTAATTAAGTAAATGCTTAAAAAAATTATAAAACAGCCTATAATTTCCTCGCGCACAATCAACTGCCTCGGCAGTGTAATGTATGCTTGGCTATTATAGATGTGTTCCTGCAAGAGTCCCAAATTGTCCAAAACAGTCAGACCCCCGCGTAATAGGACATTTGCCTAAAGTCATACAAACTGTGGAGGTATGAGAAGAGCGGGTAAGAAGCTTTCTCCGCCTGGTCTGTAATCTACTATTTTCAATTTTTTTTAACTCCCTGTAATTTGAAAACGAAAATCCGTAGGGCAAAACATCTTAAGAAAATAAAGTATTATTTTTAACTAAGTAAACCACCATTTCGTTTTTTCTCAACCTTTATATATAACCTGTATAAGTAAACAAGATATTATTGTATAAACAATTAATTTTTTCTTGCAATTTTCGAAAGGGTTAATTTTGGTCATTATAATTTTTATTAAAGCAATTACAGATTATGTAAATTACAAAGCAACTTGTTTAGAGAAACCATTTATCGCTTGCTTCACTTACCTTCATAACAATCTCTAACAGTAAAAAAATATACGTAATAACTTTCCGAGTTAAAGAATAACAGACTAATCCATGAATATGTAGCGTAAATTGGAACAATGAACAATATCCTAACAATCCAACGCTGTTCTGTCGGGTTTGTGTACCATCGGAGATGGTGGTATATCTAAAAATAAAAAATAAATCAGCATTATTATCAAATAACAACCTGTAATAATAAGTTTAGCTCGCAGAAGGAATTTTTTATTATATGATTTTATTATATGAGCATTTAAAGTTTTTTAAAAAATCTAATGATTCTATTTGGCGTTTGTATTTCTAAATTGGTGCATTATTTTTAAGGTTTCAACCTGCTTTAATTCCTCTATATTTAGTAATTTTGTAGACTTGTTCTGTTGGTGTGTCTGGTCTTAGTGTATACAGGGCTTGTATTATAATAAGTATACTTTTGTGCTCTTTATAAGTAGTTTAAGCAAGATTTCTCTTGTTGCCTAAAAGGTTATACGATAAGTTTGTCTTGACTTGTCTTTATGCAATGAATATTTTAATGCAATGTATTTTGTTAAAAAAATCAATGAAACAAACTTAAAACTGCCCTGTATATCAATTTTTCAAACCCCCCAATTCTGCAGAAAGCTATCAACCCATAAATTAAATTTAGATGTAGCTAGTTGGTTAATTTTTGTGACAAAACCGCATTAAATCCACATTATTACAATTTTTTGTCTGAACTTAATTTTAGTCAACCTATTACCCATTTAATGCGTTTTAGTCAGCTACCCTTAAAAGTAAAATAAAACTTTAAACTCAAACAATATTTGGGTGTGTTTTATTAATCCATATATAACTTATTGTAACATACATTTGGTAAGTATTGCCATGTTTATTTGTTATCAAAAAGTGTAAATTATGTGGGTGAAAATATTGTTTTATATAGGTACATATTAATATAAAACTTGGTATGACAAAAATTATTTTTTTTAAATTATTATAAATTGCTATACAGTGATCGTACTGATGTAGATATTTATACATAGAAAAATCGTTATCTTAATATTTTCATCCATTTTTATGTTAACAAACTTTGGTTACAATTTTTTAAATAATAATCGTCTTAAAATTATTAAAAAATGTTAGTTACACTTTTACTACATTTATTTACATAAAACATAAACATAAAAGTCATCATCTATACAAATCCTTAACCTTTTATAATTAGTTTAATTGGTTGTATTACGTTCTTCTTAAAATATTATATAAATATTGAGATTAACATTGTTGTTTATTTCAAAAATTGTAAATAAATACATACCTACATTATAAAATATTAAAATTACAACCCATATCTCATAAAAAGTTTTAAAATAGAGGTATATAGGTATTACCCAAGATATAGTTTTTTTTCTATATATGGATATTATTATAGATATTACCTGACTTGTTTACATCTTGAGAAGTATTTTGCTCTTCGAATAACAGACAACAACAAGAACCTTGAAGCAAGGTAACCCGTAGAAAAGCCTGTTTTCGTATCAACGTCCTCTTAGTAATTCATATTCCACACAACAAAATAGCGGATAAAGGTAATTTTATGTTTTCATGGAATCTCAGACACATGTATTAATTAACATAAATAGTATATTGTGCGACTAGTGGGAGAAAGAGGAGATTCCTCGAGCGTGAAGCTAGCCGCACGAGAGCAGCGAGTGAAATCTCTTTCGACCAATAGTCACAAACATTGTTTTATTCAACTACCGCAAGAAATATACATAATAGTGTAAAAACGAATTATGAACTATTAAAAAACTGAAACAGTCATGGCGAAAGTAATTTAAATCTATTTTTATTTGATATTGTGTCTGACATTTGACTTCTTTCAATTTTAATTTAAATGCTAGTCGCCAAAGTGGCATTTCGTTAATTTTAGTAATAATAATTTCACCACAACATCCTTTCCAAGTTAAAAGTAGTTTTTATTAAAATTTATTTAAAAGCTTGTTTTATTTTAATTAACTTATCTTTTAATTGTATGAAAGTAAGTTTTAATAAAGTAATACAAATACCGTCACGCCCATGATAGATTCATTGGTAAACAGATTAAAACACAAAAATATTTTTTTCTAGTCCCACCTTTAAAACGCCCATTATCGTACATGTAACTAGAAAAGTTGTGGCTTTATGGCGTTTTGGTCACGGACTCAAGTTGGCAACAGGTTTTTAGTCACGGGCTGAAGTTAGTATTAATTTAGTTGACAGTTGTCAAATGTCATACAAGCGTTAAAATAAAGGGCCTTTCTTCTTGTAAAATAATACTAAATATGAAAACTATTTTATTATCTCAATACAAAAATAGGTACAAAAGTATTAAATAGTTTCTCAACGCCAATATTTGAAAAGTTTATATGAACATTGCACTGGCCTTTTAATTTCGCCGGCAGTAAACTATAACTTAAATACGGGCTCGGACTCCAATGTAAAGTGCTCATAAAACATTGTCTTTACTTTCACTGTGAAAAACTGTCCATTTTCAAGGAATACATTTCGATTTATAAACTTTATAATCTGTGCTTATAAAATATAAAAATGTGACATTTGACGGTGACACAGATTACCCTATTGTTTCATAGATGGCGCTCTATACAAATATTTGATTTAAATCATTTAAAGATAATAATAAGTATTTGTCGTAGAAAAAGTATAGTATGCACCTTGTTTAAAACTTTCCTATACACTCATTAATTTAAGCACTCGCTCGCAAGCTCGCACGTTGCCTAAATCTGTCAAATGGTATAACGCCGTGCTGTGTGCTTCTTTCGAGGCTACTTTGTACAACATAATTTTTATTCAGAAAAATAAATAACCACACGCCTGGTAGCGAAATTTGTTATAAGAATAAAGAAAAAGTTAAGTTCCCATAAGAAAGTTATTTATTAAAATATTAAAAACAATCTATTAAATACTGCAATTATTAAAAATTAAGTCTCCAACGTTTTCTCCTTGTCCAAGTCCAAAAAGTTTGTTTGTTTCGTAAAAGGTTGTGATAGTGCTTTAGAATCACAACCTTGTACGGCACATCAAACTTCTAATGAAAAAAATAATATATATTTAATTCCTGTTGAAAACAACAAAATAAGTTATATGTGATCATACTATACATACTATATATACTATAATTCTTAGAAGTTTCTCAAAGCCCAACCTACAATAAAATGTGAATAAAATAAAAGAAAAAATAAGCACTTAACCCCTTCAGACCTGAATTATTTTACGACGATAAAAAAAAATAAATGGCTCTTAAATCTATCGAATTAGGACCTAAATAACACATATTTGATGCTAAAAAATCTTAATTCTGAAATTTCAGGATAATTTCAGGATGTTCACATGCATGTACATCGAATGTTTTATACGGTTTAGGTGTGGATAATACCAAAATAGTTTTTACATGTCTTAGTACATACCTATAGGAACAAACTACACCAGTTTATACTTAAAAAATATCTTTACAAATCATCTAAAGACCCGCTAAGACAAACTGTCGTCAACGATTTGTTGCTGTCATTATGCGCATCTCCATTATATGAGAGAATTTTCAATCAAAAGGGGCAGTTTAAGTAAGAGAAGTCGCAAAATGTACCTTAATTTACCAAAACAAATGTACTTGGGGGTGAAAACTAGGTTCTAAATGAAATTTAATGCCTATTGATAGTAAATAAATTACTAAAAAGCTAATGTACATCTGAATGTGCACCAGGTCTGAAGGGGTTAAACGTAATGAGATTAACGAACCGTTAAAAAATGTAATGCCAGGTTAGGTGAACAATGTTAATTTGGTACAAAAAATATTTTGGTCGTGCCGCACCCTAAAAAGCTTTCAAATAAGTAAAAAAATATGCGCCCTCAAAATGTTTTTATTTTAACGTTAAGCAATAGAAAAAAATGAGATAAAACAAGTTAAACCTTTTTTAGAAAAATGGGGTAAGGCGCCGAAAGCCCTTTAGACCGCCAGGAATACCATAACCAAAATCCAGCCATATTTGTTTACCCAAATTAACTTTTACCCTAATGTAAACACATTATTGCAACATTGTTAAATTTTAATAGTTTTCTAACTAAAATATTTGTATACCTACGTAGCCATGATTAGGGATTGCAATCCGGCATGATTTTCAATCCGGTCGGATTCCCTGCTTAAAATACCCCATAGAGACCCTGTTCAAACCGATAGATATTTGTATCGGAATTTATGGTGTTTCTTTAGGGTGTATCAGTATGTATAGGACCCATTGTTGGGATTTATGGTTGTTCTATAGGGATATCCACCCTTGATTTATTTGCTATTGGTTTCAATGGGGAAAATACACATAAATGTAGAAATTAGTTTTTCCCCCATAGCACCCCATAGGTTTTAATAAAATTTTGTAAAATGTTTTAAGTTTGTTCTATAGGGATATCCCTATATATCCTTCATTGAGTTATTTGCTATCGGTCTCTCTAGGGAAAATGTAAAAGTTATGGTGTGCCTATAGGTAATTTCCTATAAATTTTCTATCGGGCCGTATCCGGAAAAAACCATGGACAAATGCACATATTGAATCCGGTAGCGCCCGATAGATTATAATAATAATAATAATTTTATTTCTGCTATTACCTAATAGGTTTACATCGTCAAATATACAGTGGAGTATTTTAATTCATACAATAATTAAATAATTTTAATAATACATGTTAAATATAATAAAAACACTAACAAAACACTTTAAAAAAATATTGCTGATAAATATTGAATATGTTTAAGATAAAATTCAAAACTAAATTTATAATAATAAGAAAAAAAATTCAAACATTAAAATTAAAATTAAAAAACTCATTAGAGTCGTAAAAAACATTATTTTTAAGAATGGAGACTACTTTTTGTTTAAAAGAATTAATTAATTAAGGGGCAGTTCCTTTATTTTATTAGGTAATTTATTATAAAATTTAATGCCCATAAAATCGGGAGTCCTTTCACTTCTTCGAAGTCTACTAAATTTTGGTATTAGTTCACCTTTGTTTCTTGTATTGTGATTATGTTGTATTATATGGGAATTATACAATCTTAAGTTATTTTTAATATATAAAAGATTTTGCAGAATGTAAATGCTTGGGAATGTCAATATTCCCAGT